GCAAAGTCCCGACTCAAAAGCGTTCCAACACCTGGGAATGTTCCCTTGTCAGACAATTAACTTTTCATCCGGTAACAGAAATACACACACTCGATATTATGTATATAGATAGATAGCTACGGTCTCATACTCTTATATCGCACGTATCTTTATAGTCCAGGTAGCCTTACTCCTTTCAAGGCCTATGGGTACCCTCATACGATAGCCCTTGAGGGCCTATGGATACCCCGATAGGATAGCTCCTCAGGACCTATGAGTACCTTCATAGGATAGCTCTTGACGACCTTTTGGTACCCTCATAGGAACGGCTCTTGAGGACTTATGAGTCCCCCATAAGTAGTCCTTGGGACTTCCTCTTACAGCCGTATTTGACCTTTAACCTGGCACAGAGAAACAGACACTTAACATTATATATATACAGATTACATTTCAACATCATCTATATCATTAGATAATAGTTTTTTTTTTCCTCATCAAAATTATTTCATACATCTGTCTTCAAGAAAAAGACTTTATTGAAAAGAAGTTTTTCATACGACTATGCTTTTCTAGTGATACCAGATGATTTTTTTTTGTGTCCTTGTTTATGTACTGAAAAGACATCTAAAAGATATTGTATAATAATTATTTTTCCATTAAGAAGGCAAACTTTGTCCTATCATCATGGAAAATTTGATAATTCTACTCGATAATATTAGACAAATGCGTAGATCCATCTAGTAATGCCCATCAAAGACTCTTTTCTTCGTCATTTCATTTGAAAATTTATTAATTAAACTTTAAATAATAGAAAATTTTGTATCAATTTCAAAACTAAATATATTTCTATATTAATAGATTATGTTTTTGGTGTACCATTAGCACGTAAATATTCTTATATACATGTAAATGTAAATAAGAGTTATTATAATTATTCAATTGATGAAGAAAATTTTAGTCGACAATTAATTCGTTATTGGACAAACTTTATTAAAACTGGGTATATTCAAATTTTTATATCTAATTTTTATTTATACTTTTATTATTAAATAGAGATCCAAATAAAAATTCATTATCCTCAATTGATAAATCAAATGTTCAATGGAAACCATATAAAAACAATGAACATAATTATTTATATTTTTCTTTAAAATCTATTCATATTAAAATTAATTATTTTGATGAAATGTATAAATTTTGGAATCAATGTTTTAATATTGAATTAAAAGGTGGTTGTTCAAAGAAAAAAATATATAAACATTTAATATTATTTATAATTTTATTAATTTTTATATTATTTATTTTAATAATATTATTTCTTTGGAAATATTTTCAAAAGAAAAAATCAAGACATACATTTTCTCGTCGTTCACCAACAGCTTTACTCCCATATCCTAAGCATGTATCGACATAAAAAGACATAAGCTTTCTTTCTTTTTCTTTTTTTTTTTTTGTCTGTTCGATGAATTATAATAATAATAATAAAGGAAAAAAAAAAAAAAAGAACGTTGTTTTATTTTATTCATAAACAATTCTTGTTGATGATGGTTGTTTAGATTTTAATCTATTTCGTCGTTGATTAATTGGTGGTTCATCATCAACATAGATTACTTTAGATTTACGTGATCGTCGTCGATCTCTATCATCATTATCATCAATATATTCAATATATTGTCTTGATGGATGTTGATCATCAATAAAATCAATTTCATTACCATTTTCATCAACATATATATATTCATCTTCATATTCAATTGGTCGGTCATCATCAACATAAACAACTTCACGACGACTTGAACGATGATGACGATTTGATGATGGAGATTCATCAACATAAACATATTCTCTTGGTTGTGGTGGTGGTTTTCGAACTACTTTTGATCGACGTGTTGATGTTGGTTCTACATAATAAACATCATCATCATCATAATCATCATAATCTCGATAGGGTGCATCACGTAGAACACGTACAACTCGTTGAGATCTTCTTCTATCAATTGGAGTCTCCTAAATAAATTGTATAAATAATATTAAATTTATTCTAAAGAAGAATAACATGAAAAAAAAAACAATAATAAATCTATACTTAAATTTTTTTCATTTTAAACGTAAAAAAAAAGAAAACAATAAAATAAAAAATCAAACATTTCACTTATGGAAATTGCGTTTTTATGTTATTCTTTTTTATAGACGAATAATAAACTTTTGAGTTTTCTTTTTTTCTTTTTGTTTCTTATTCGTTTTTCACATACTATTTGTTGAATGAAAACATTTTATTGCTGCTATAGTAATAAAGATTCAAATATGAGAAGATGCTGAAGGTTAACTATATAATATAATTATATAATCAAACAAAAATATACAAATATTGAGTTTTAAATTTATAAAGGTTAATCTCTGCTTTATAAACATTAGTAATTAAAGCGGAAAAGAATTAATTATTTTCATTACATACCGTACGATAATCATCATAAACATAATCAGATGGTTGTTTACGACGTTCTATGACATATTCATTGTTTCCTACATGCATACGTCGTGGTCTTTGAGATATATCTCGAGAAAGAGAAGAAGATTTTTGGTAATAAGCAGAAGGTGAAGAAGAACGATAAACACCGTTTTGTTTATTAGATAAGCGTAAAGGTTTGCGAGGATAATCATCGGGTGAATTACGATTTTTTTGTATAGGTCGAGCAACATTAGTTCTACGTCTATATTCAGGTGGTGTTGAAGTATTTCTAGTAAAACGTTCTTTCGGTGGTATAGTACGTCGAGAATTTTTGTCTATTAAATCATCTTTTGATATTCGAGGATTTACATCATTTCGTTTTGTTGGTAATGCATATGTATCAGAACGTGGTGATGGTTGTTTAACAGCAGTAGGACGTGGTCGTGGTAATTTACCAGTTGATTTCGTTCCAAAATTATTATTGAAACCATTTTGGTTTTTGTCTCGAAACTGATCGCGATAACTTTTTGACATATAAAAATTTTTCTTAGCCTTTTTCTTTCTCGTTTTCTATTACATTAACTACTTGAGAAAACAAATTTGACTGACTGCTCTTATGTACTACTACTTCGTCTTTTTTTTTTTCTTTTTTAATGACTTAAAATTGTTTTTTTTTTTTACTATTTACGAAAAAGAAAAATGTCAATGTTCCTCTCTTTCTCTCAATAGAATTTCTTTTTTTTTTTTCCTTTGTCCTTTTTTTATGTATTGTAAAATATTTTGAACAATAAATAAAACTAATTCTATACATAGTTATTCAGTAAATGAGATAAAAAACAAAGTTGAAAAGAAAATATTTTTTTACCTGAGGAGCACGAGATATAATTTGAGGTTCAACACGTTGTGCTCTTTTTGTTGTTGGATAATTATATGGATAATAACCAAAACCACTTGATATAGGCATAAGTTCAAATTCTTCAGTTGGAGTTTTGTCAATAACTAATACTTGATTAGAATCAATAGGTAATGAAGAATCAATTGATATATCTTGATTGTCTTCGACAGGTTCAGTTGGTGTTAATGTTGTTATTTGTGTTGCACACTCCTATGAATGAAATTTTTACAAGCTTTCTATTTTACTTTTGAAATTTAAATTTTTATGTAATAATTGAAGATATGTGTAATTCAAACCGAATAAAAATTATCGTTGAGCTGTTCGGCATAATATGCGGTATTCATTGGTAACCCGGACAAGAGCGCAAATAGTATGGGATATTAAGTCAAAATGTAAACTGTACATCGGGTTAAGAAATATCTTCGAGATTAACTTAGCCAAAATTCTTCACAATTAATTTTTATGTCATTAGATATTTCCGTTGGCATTTTCCTTATATTTGACATTTTGCATGAATAAAGAATGTTTTAGTCCTAATCACTCATGAATCTTAACTTTGCCATGATAGTTCATTTATGAAATCTTACTATAGAATATATTAGATTGAAAATTCTATTGGTTACTAAAATCTCTATTTGAACTCTAGCTAATTAGAAACATAGTGTTGTTAAATTTCTTTTTTTCACTACCACTTTATAAATTTTAAAAAAGTAGAAGTATACTGCGCTCTAAAGTAATCATTCAGACAGAAAAAAGAAAAAGAAAATTTTTTTCTTTTTTTGTTTCGAAATTTGACCGATTGATCATTTAAAAAGTATTCACTTACACGAGTCTCTGGTGAATTTCTTGATAAAGATGAATACGTAGGACACGATGAAAGAGAACAATGTGTATCAAAATCGTCAAGATCAGTATGTAAACGTCGTAATGGCCAATGTTGCTGATTTATATCTGTTAACTTATCAAAACGGTTAGGTGCTGATTGTGAAATTTGTTTGACACGATTATAATGAATATGTTTTGTTGTTTCTTTGATTGTATTAACAGGCAACTGTTTTTGTAATCGATCATTTGTCTGTTGTCGACGTTCTGTATGTATTTGTTGCATCGTAACACTTCAAAAATATTTTTTTTTTGTTATACTTAAAATGTATTCAGATTTTAGTTTCAATTTTTTTTTTTCTTTTTCTCAATCAGAAAATCACAGTATGAGTATAATTATCTCGGTTTTTTTTATTCGTTGTTAAAACACATGAAGAAAAAAAAAAATATCGGTAATATTATGATATAAAGGTGTGTGTGCATTATGAGAGGGAAAAAAAGAAGAAAACGAGAGAGAGAGAAGGCTGAGCGTGCATTTTATTTGCTTTTGTTTCTTTGTTATAATGACGATAAAAAAAGTGATTGAACAAGATATAAAAAAAAAGAAAATCGTTTGCATTGTCTAACATAAATCATCATCTATTCATCTTCTTTGCCACGTTTGATCTGTCGTGTAAATGCACCATAATCAAGATTTCCTTTTGGATCTATTGGAGCACCATCAAGCATTTGACTGAACTTAAAAAACGAAAAATAATTTTAATCAAAAAAAAAAATAAAAATAAAAATTTTTATTTACTTCCATATCGGTTAATCCTTAAAATTTAAAAGAAGAAACAATTAATTAATACAATAAATATAATAGAAATATTTATTTACTTTCATCTGGACGTCCTTCACCAGTAAGAACATCTCGTAGGCTTAAAAAAAAAAAGATTTCATATATTAATTAAAAATATAATTTTTTACCTTTTTTGATTAATAAATCCATGTCCTTCTGGATCGAAATTTTTCCATGCATTTAAAATAACATTTTCTTCATCGGTACCATTTAATCGATCTCCAAATAATGTTAATAACATAGTGAAATTAACTGCACCTTGTGCTTCTTCAAGCATAGCTTTTAATTCAGTATCTTTTGGTGCTTTTCCTATAAAAGAAAAGAAATATTTTTTTCTTTTTGTTAAAAACAAAAGTTTAATTTCGCTTTATTTATTTTACCAAGTGAAGCATATACTTCTTTAAGATCATCCAGACTAACTGTACCATCACGATCTTGATCCATAAGATTAAAGGCCTAATGAAATACACAAAAAAAAGCAAAATTATTTTTGTATTGAAATATTTTTCTTCAATACATACTTCTTTAAATTCTTGTACTTGTTTTTGATCAAACATTGAAAATACATTACTAGTGGCACGTTGAGCTTTCTTTTTTGATTTTTTCTGTTGGAGAGAAAAAAAAGAATTATAATATTTTCTTCTGTTTTTTTTTTTTTGATTAATTATTAATCAAATAATTATAATGTTTAGTCCTTTATAAATCATATGGTGAATAGTATTAGGAAACAAAATGAGGTGTGAGCATGAAAAATATGAATGTATAATTTTTTAACATGCGTTATGAAAAAAAAACTGAGAATGTCCATAGAAAAAAAAAAAAGAAGGAAAGAAATCAAAGATTCATATGTGCGATAGAACGAATACTAATAAATGTGTATATAGGAATGAATATATATATATATACAATGCTATGTTAAACTTACTTCTCCCTAGAATAATTTAATATGTATATTTTTATTTAATAACTTAGATAAGATTTATTTAAAACAAAACAAAAAATATTCATTAACTTCTTTTTACTTTAGTATATTAATACTTACGTCAGTCATTGTTGAGCTTGAAAAAGTCTAAGATGTTGAATCTAGTTGGATGTAGTACCACAAGCAGCTTCTTACTGGGAAATAGTACAAGCAAAGGAACACTCAGAGTCTATATCCCTTGTTCTCGCTCTCGCTCTCTCTCTCTCGTTTTTTTTCTTACTTCTTGATATTGTTGTTGTTATTAAGGGAAAAATTGCCTTTTTTGGGTGCTATGTTACGCCAAACGTAAGAAAAGAAGAGAAGAAATATGGATAACCGCTGTGGATATTAACAGGGAGTATTTTTCTTCTTGTTTCTCTTTTCCTCTGTGTGAGATTTGTTAGCATATGTGTAATTCTTAACATATACATTTTTTTTTCTGATGGAAACGCGTCGATACATATCGATCTAAAACGATCTCATCTATCTTCCTGTTGTGTGTGTGTGTGTATACTAATAGACAAAGAGGCCTAATCTGGTCATGATGAAAAAGATTTGCTCTTTTCTCTTGTACATATTATTCTTGACAGACGATTTAGTTTACATATTATTGGTATTAAAAATAGAAGACAAAAGAAGAATAAAGAGGAAATGAATGATTTGCCTTGAAACAAATAGGAAAAATTGTTAATATCAATACAATAATAGATGCTTTTCTTTTTTCTTGTTACAGTTAGATCTTTATTTCTTTTGCTACATTTTTTAGTCAAGCATATATTCCAAGGCTAATAGCATTTATTGACAAATCAATAAATGGAAGAAAAAAAAAAAAGAAGAAGCAAGTCATAATATCTAACAATTACGACATTCTTTTAATAATAATAATAATAAACTCGTTGTTTTTCTTCTCTCTACTACGACTAATAGAATTCATAGAACTTTCTTTTTTTTTTTTTATTCTCTTCAAAATCAAAAACAAGCAAATATAACGTTATAATAAAACAAAACATAAAATTAACAACAAATCTGACATGAATCTAATTATAAATCAGATGATATTTGTAATAAATTTTTACGAAATTTTTGTATATTAGTTAAAATATTCATATATGTTGAATATTCATTAGGATTTGTTGTTGTGTAAATATCATTAAGTTTGTCAAGAATGGGTACTAATGAAACAAAGTCATTTCGACATACATCTGTTAATGATATCATTGCTATGAGTAATTTATCAATTTGGTCAAAATCATTAAGATCAATTGATATTAAATAATGAGATATATATGAACACCAATTATATTTAACTAATTCATCACGAATATGAATACTAAAAATATAAAATTATAAATTTTTATATCAATCAGTAATAATAGATAATCTTATATGTATAATTAGTAAAGTGTTTATAATTAGATTATGTTTGTTTTTGAATTATATTATATTTCTTAAGTATATGGCGAAGTTGTATAGTTATGGACAAAATTTGTTATCCTCTCATTTGTCTTATTTATTACTAGATACATGATTGATTTGAGATACTTTCTTATACAATCGAAGTCTAATCTATTGGCAATAACAAAATGATTATCTGTATGTCATTTTGAAGATATAGAGAAAGGTTTTTTTTGTTCCATAATGATCATAATTCTTGAAGAGATTGATGAATCATTATAAAAATTTATATACTACATAGTGCTATATCATAAGATCTCAATCGATTTACAATAACCTTTCTATATAAATAATAGACTTCATTCATCAAAATTTATTAACTATTCAAACAAGTAAAATGTGAGTAATTCTTATGACTTATATTTATATAAAATTTTTCAGATTTCTATTTAATAATGAGTAGAATCAATCCTTTTTCGGTCTTGATTAGAGGTAAATTTATTGTTCTGATTTTGTCCTTAAGAAGAAAATATGATATAATTTTCTAACAACGCTAATAACCTTGAGACATCTTGCATAACTTCTTCTTGTTATACTTTATTAATATCGAAAAGGAGAACGACTTCTAACGGATAATATACTATTCAAAACATTTTCTATAGTCTTTAATATAAATTAAATAACTTACTTTTCATAGATATGTTGTTTGTCATTCATAGCTTGATCCTATAAAATATAGAAATAAATCTTTTTGTTTTTGTATTATTTTTGTTTTTTTTACTTTTTCTATAATAAGATCATTCATAAGTAGAATAGCTCTAAGTTTTATTTTATTATTTGAATTATTTTGTTCGAAAATATTAATTATTGTTTCAATTCCACCATATTCAAGAAAATTTATTTGTGCTTGTGGAAAATTTCTTAATAATGTTGATAATGTAAATAGAAGACGATATTTAATATTATTATTTGTTTCAATATTTAATAAATGTAATAAATATCGAACAAAACCAAGATTTAATCCTTTTAATTGAACTTTTGGATTTCTAAAAAAACAAGATTTCCATTATAAAAAAAATTGTTATTCTTTCATTATGTTTTACCCTTGAAAAGCTGCACCTAATGCAAGACTTGTTAAAGAACGAATATCATCATTATATGTATTTGTTGTATTAAGTAATTGAATAAGTAATTCAAGACCATTCATATCAGAAAAAACTATTGCATTATCATACTAAAAAATAAATTAGAATATTTAAAATCTCTTATCAAAAAACGAGAGTGTCGCGAACACGAAAAGCGTTAAAAAACCAGACGGACATCAGATAACAAATTGAAACTACACTTTTTAGGGTCTTAAATAAGGACTACATATACTCTGGTATATGTTTTACTTAATGATATAAAAGTCTTTGTACCTCTTCATAACATTAATCAGAAAACCTTTTCGAAAAGTGATACTAGGAAAAATTAGAAGTAGAACTCGTCGGATCCGAAATAGAGGTGTAAGCCATCCAGCTGCGCCGCCGCCATGGAATCGTAGATAGTTTTACGAACCTATTAGCCGCCGCCGCTATGAAAAAGTTAGTTCAGCCGTTGCGCCGCCGCCATGGAATCGTAGATAGTTTTACGAACCTATTAGCCGCCACCGCTATGAAAAAGTTAGTTCAGCCGTTGCGCCGCCGCCACGAGCGAAAACTTTTGATAATAGTATGATGCGCCGCCGCCATTGCCACCGATACATATGCGATCGGTCATTTTCTCGCATTTTAGGAGCGAAAACGTCTTTTTTGGGTTGTCAAAGCCGCCGCCGCCGTTTGATCCCTCGGCTTACACCTCTAGTCCGAAATCAACCGGACGGTTTCTAATTAAGAGCCTTTTTGTACTATGACTCAGTGGCGTACGCAGAAATTTTTCAAGGAGGGGGCCCAACTTCGCAGGGGGAGCCGCCATGGCGCAAAAAAAGTTTTATCACGCGAATATATTTTTCCCTGTACCCCCTCCAGGACTTTTTCGTCTCAAGGGGGAGGGGGGCGGGTCCCTCGGCCCCTCCCCCTACGTACGCCACTGCTGTGACTAAACAAAACAATATGAGAAAAACAAAAAACTTCTTGCTTTTTCCATAGTTTTCTAGATACATTGAAGGCTATCTTCATATTTAGAATATAATATTATAATTTAGTCTTCTTGTAAAAAAAGGTTTTTTTTCATGTGGTTATATAATTTCTTAGTAAGAAAAACTATTCGTCCTTTTTATCAATCGTGATGATTTCAGATTAAAAATAATAACAAACCTGATGAAGATAAAATTCAAGATCAGTTAAAATTGTTTTAAGATTATGTTCATTATTAGTTTTAGTTAATTCATTAATAAGATTTGTTAAAATTTCATGATCAGTTTGAATTTTTATATTCATAGATTGAAAATCTTTTTTTAATTCATCATATGGACGAAATTTTTTTTTAATTTCTTCTTCATGTTTCTATTTAAAAAAAACAAAAAACAAAATGAAAATATTTAAAAAAAAAATTTATTTTCTAAATTTAATACTTTATCTGTTTTAATATCATCTTTGCTTAAATCAAGATTAGCAAATGCTCGTTCAAGATTTTTTTTACTAATTTGTTCTTGTTCATTATTATTTGATGAAATTGAAATAATATCATTTGATATAATTTTTTCTTTAGTATCTTCAAGTAGTTTTGCTTCTCGAAGACCAGTTTGTAAATTTAATCGAACATGAAGACCAGGTGGTATAGCTTGACCTAAATAATAAAATTTAAAAAAAAAAACTTTCAATATATTCTTTCATTGATTAATGATAATTATATATACCTTCTTTTACAATTTGCCATTCATTTGTAGGAATAAATTCTTCATGATTTTGAATAAAACTTTCTTAAATTTAAAAGAAATTGTTAAAAAAAAATGAAAATATTTTATAAACTTTTTTTTACCTCCAGATTGTTGTATTTTTAATGGAATTGATGATAATGATTGAAATGTTAATGATAAAATAATAACTAATAAATATGTAAGAGAATAAGAATCAATTGACATATTTTTATATATTATATTTGAATAAATATATTTGTATGATTAACGAATAAAATAGAAAAAATTTAATAAATGTTTACTATTTATATAGAGAGTTGAAAAGAACATACTGCAATAACAACGATCATTTACATTATATGAAGAAATTCAACGTGGCAAGCAAATCGTTGGTTATTCTTTTTTTTCAGATGTTAAATTTGATTGATGATTCACCTACATATATCTTGACGCATACCAATAGTAATCATATACAATAGAGTGCATTACATTTTGTTATATCATATTAAAATTCTATTATTTCTTTAAACAAGTTTCACAAATAATATTTCCATTTTGATAAGAAAATTTTTTCATTTCAATTGGTTGTTGACAAATATAACATAAAAAACAAGTATTATGAAATTGTTTTCCATCAAATTGTGTTAATATTTCTCCTGTTAAAAATGGTTCTTTACATATCATACAATGTGGTCCATTATCAATATGACAATTTAAACAATAAAGACATCCATCTTCTTGACGAAAAAAACCTTGACTAATAATTAATTTTTTACAATTTCCACAACGAAAACAATCCGGATGATAAAATTCACATTGATACATTGATATTGTTTCACCAATAAGAAAATTTTTTCCACATTTTTTACATTGATCATTTAATGTTTGATATGTTTTTAATGTCATTATACATGGTTCAATATCATTCATACATTGTTGACAATATAAAAAATTATTTTTCGAATAAAATATTTTATTTTTTAATGATAATCGACATTTTTTACAAATAAAACTATAAAAAAAAAAAACGCGAATGAGAAAACTTTTGTCAGTAACAAATCTCTTTTCAGTCAAGATTATGTGCATCATGTAAGATATCAATACTCTGAAAAGATTTCGAACTAATCTACAGGGGCGTAAGTCGGTACTGAAGGCAGGGGGCGTCGACAAGCACTAGAATTAGGGGGTTACATGCTCAAATTTGAAAAGCAGGGAGGGGGCGCGGCCATAGAGAATTTCAGAAGCAGGGAGGTGTTACACCAGAGATGTCCATCGCGGCTCAAAATCTGCCGCTGCCGCGCCGCGGCCAAAATCAAACAAAGCTGCCGCGCCGCTCCCGCGACGCGATGGCCTGTTAAAAAAAGCTACCGCGCCGCTGCCGCAACGCACCTTGATAAAAAACTTGCCGCTACCGCGCCGCTGCCGCGCTGGTATTCGAAAAAATGTTTTGATTTTCAAGGCTTTGACTGGTTTGAAATAGAACTGATGCCGCTAATCGATCAGATTCGCTAAGTCTTACAGTATAGCATACATAAACATGCAGATTCTGTGCAAATTCATGAATTTTTTGAAATTTTTTCCTAAAAAGCTGCCGCCGCCGCGCCGCTGCCGCGACGGCAAAATAAAAATCACTCTCGCGCCGCTGCCGCGCCGCGATAGTTTTTGGAAAATATCTGCCGCTGCCGCACCGCTGCCGCGCCGCGATAGTTTTTGGAAAATATCTGCCGCTGCCGCGCCGCCACCGCCACGGCGGCAGCGGCAGCGCCGCGATGGACATCTCTGTGTTACACCCACCCTATTTACGCCCCTGCTAATCTAAGCTTTTACGATATTTTTAAATAAATGCTCACATCTCCTTTTATCATTCCTATCTCAAAATAGGATATACAAAAATTCAATAAACATTCATTATGCACAAATTCCATCCAAACATTCTATATGTCAAGAACAAAGGTTCAAACAATCGAACCAATTTATACTTTGATACTACTCATCATAAGCTATTACCTGCGTACAATCTTTGCAGTCTGAATCAAAAACTGATCGGACACTTGAGCAGTTTTCGTTATAAGTTTAAATTTTTTAGAGATCCGGACACTTGCTCGCTATAGGACCCAGCAATTGTCCTACACCCAATTTTTTATATTTATTGTTTTTGTTTTTTTTACCATTCATTATGATATTCTTGTCCTTGAAATTCAATAATAATTGATGTTGGAGTAAATGTTTGATTACATTCAATACATGATGAACATCGTTTATAATAACATATTTCACAATAAATTTGTGGATTAGATATCTAAATAAATTAGAATATTTATTTCTATCAAAAACAAAAAAAATATATATATATATAACATCTAATTGAAGTTTTTCATCAAGATAAAATGATTCATGTGATAATTGTTTTTTACAATCAATACATAAAAAACAATGAAAATGATATTGATGTTGTTTAAATAATGCAATATTTTCTTCGTGTTGAAAACAATTATTACATTTTTTACAACTAAAATTTAACAAAAAACGTTTTTTTTGTTTTTTTTTATTCAACTTACATGTTAGTTTTTATAGGTACATTAATCATAAATAAAAATAGAAATGAATGAAATTTTTTATATTAATATGATTTAAATTATTAACCGCCAAAAGTTAATAATTAAAAAAAAAAACAAACTACTGAACATTTCCAATGCTATAAAATCTAGTTACCATTAATAAAACTACCTCTATTATAATAGTTCTGTAGAGAAGTACATTTGGACTACATTCAAAATATCCAAAATGATATACTACGTATTTATTAATATACCATCTGGATTGTATAAGTTCGTAATAAAAAAAAGCAAGTGCAATCATTTAGAAATAAATAAGTGTTACTAATTTTATAACATTACTTCGATGTTATATTTCTTCTAACAGACAAAAATAATATTCATGACAAACATTTTTATATAAATGACAATTTGAAATAAAAACAAAGAAATATATTTTTTCCTTTTAAATCTTTTACAATGTTAATCATACTTCAAAAATATAGAATCAATCATATAAATACTTATGAAATTTTTATATTTCAAAACTATACAATGAAAAATCTAAAAATCATATACATAAAATTAAGAAGCTACTGTAGTATAGGGAACTACGGGACCACGTTTTTTTGGTTTCGGTCCCGGCTAATATTGTTTTTTAGTCCCGGTCTCAGTCCCGTTTTTTTCATAGCGAACATAAAAGAATTTTTAAGAAACCTATTACGGTGTCGCACATAAGTGTACGTCGTGTAATGTGTATATTTCTGTTTCTGCTCTTATAAATCGTCTAAATAAGTCTATATGTGGATATTGTAAACATGTTAATGTTAATAGATGTTTGAAAACATCGGTTTTTGTTTTCTTTTTTATGAAATAATAAAAGAAATTATTGGGGTTTAGGACAGTTGCGCGCGGACACTTGCTCGTTTGGTCACTTGCTCGCTATAACAGTTACATAGGGTCCTATAGCGAGCAAGTGTCCGCGCGCAACTGTCCGGCGAGCAACTGTCCGGATCCCAAATTATTGATCATCAATCGACTTGAAAAGACAACTGAGTTCTTTTTTTTTTATTCAAAATAATTTTTCGGGACCAGCTAAAAAATAGTTTCGATCCCGGTCCCGTAAAAAATAATTTTTGGTCTCGCGGGACCGGGACCATTTTGCAGTTCCCTAACTGTAGTATCAACTTGCATTGGCACAAAATGACCAAACATTCTTTAACAATGCACAAATTTTAAGTCTAAATTATAGCCGTTGAAAGACTGAAGATTAAGTTTTATAATTCATCTTTTTCAAATATGAAGGAATATCGAATATTACACATAATTATTTCAATAACCAAGGAGAAAGAAATGAATTAAGCAAACATATATTTATCAAAACTAAATTTGAATTGAGTTCTAGATTCTAATATAATCTCATGAAAAACATCGAATATTTCATATAATCTAAATATATATAATATTATTGAATGATCATCTCATATTTATATATTTGATTGAAAATATAAAAAGAAGAAGAAGAAGAAGAAGTTACGACAATATAGAAGAGAAAAAAAAAGAGAGAGACGTTCAATATCATACAATGAATAAAATGTCCACAAAAAAAAAGCACACACACACACACACACATACACACAACCCGATGACCATATTCGAATGATAATCAATTGTTTAATCTAAAAACAAAACAAAAAAAATGTGTATAATTGTTATTAATAACACATATCAAAAAAAACAATAAAGAAAACATTCTAACACATCATATCCCATGAGACAATTCAATATATATTCTTACATCGACTCTTCTTTTTTTTTGTTTTGTTCTATGGTAATATTGGTGTATACCATATATGTGGTGCACCACCATATGATGACATTTGTTTCATATGATCTAAATCTATAAGTTTTTGTTGTTTTTTTTTTTTTGTGAATTTTAATTAATTAAATACCTGATGATAGATTAGTTGGTATACTTGTTGAATAATTAGGACAAGAACGATTATAAGGTGTACTAAATGGGCTAAGTCCATCATAACCACGTGTTGAACCTATATAATATAAAAAATTGAATTATAAATCAATTTTGTTTTTTTTTTTTATTTAGAAACAAAACCTTGAGGGTATAGACATTTCAATCAAAACAAAAATAATTTAATAAAATATAACCTTACTAGGAAAAAATGTTGGATATGCACTAGAACTACATGCAACAGCTGCTGCAGCCATTTGTCCAGTAAAACCTGAACTAAATGCTCCATATTGATGATGATGATGATGATGATGATGATTTGGATCATTATTTGTTGGAAGTACTTGAGGATAGAGTGATGTTACTGCTGCTGATGATGATGATGATGTTGGTTGAATTTGTTGTGATAATGGATGTGGTGGTGTTGAACCTGATGGACGCATATTTTCACCCATATCATTAATTAATTGTTGTTGTTGTTGATGTTGTCGACGACCTTTAACTTTATCTTCACGACGATATTTTGCTCGACGATTTGAAAACCATACCTTAACAAAAATTGATTAATTTTCTTTTATAAAAAAAATAAAATCTATATCATACTTGTATTCTTGCTTCAGGTAAATTAATTTTTTGTGCAAGTTTTTCACGTGCATATACATCTGGATAATGTGTACCATTAAAAGCTTAAACATTAAAAATTTAAAAAAAAAACCTTT